TCACTTGGTAGCCCAGGCTGGCCTCGAACTCACAAAGATCCGCCTGCCTCTGCCTCCCGAGTGCTGGGATTAAAGGCGTGCGCCACCAACGCCCGGCGGGGTTGACTTCTTTATAGATATATTTTTGGCACTGTGAGTAGAGTCTTTTCTTTTTAAATATAGATGCTGAAGTGCATCTCTTTTTTTTTTTTAACACTTATTTATTATGTATGCAGAAGAGGGAGCCAGATTTCATTGCAGATGGTTGTGAGCCACCATGTGGGTGCTGGGAATTGAACTCAGGTCCTCTGGAAGAGCAGTCAGTGCTCTTAACCTCTGAGCCATCTCTCCAGCCCGAGTAGAGTCTTTTTTGGGGGAGGGTTTGTTTTTTTGTTGTTGTTGTTTTTGTTGTTGTTTTGTTTTTTTTGAGATAGGGTTTCTCTGTGTAGCTTTGGATTGGAGCCTTTCCTGGAACTCACTCTGTAGCCCTGACTGGCCTCGAACTCACAGAGATCCGCCTGCCTCTGCCTCCCGAGAGCAGGGATTAAAAGCGTGCGCCGCCACCACCACCTGGCTGTGAGTAGAGTCTTAAAGAATGGCATGCACTTGGGGGAGGTGTAATGGGCCCCAGGTGGCCTGGTCTTGGGAGAGGGTGATCACATGACCTCCCCAGGGACCTGAGGTGATGGCCCTGGAGGCAGTTGAAATGGGAGTGGGCTCAGGAGAAGCTGCGGGTCCCAGAACAGCATGGGCAAAGGTCCCGGTCCACAGGACAGCATGATTTCCTTAGCTCTGGGTCGCTCTGACAAACTGTCCCTAAAAGCAACTTCTAAAGAGGAAAGGCTGCTGGGCATGGTGGTGCACACACCTTTAATCCCAGCCCTGGAGAAGCAGAGTCAGGCAGATCTCTGTGAGTTCGAGGCCAGCCTGGTCTACAGAGCGAGATCCAGGAAAGGCTCCAAAACTACACAGAGAAACCCTGTCTCGAAAAACCAAAAAAAAAAAAAAAAAAAAAGGAAAGGTTAAGGCTGGAGAGACGGCTCATAGGATAAGGTGACTGCCACCAAGGCTGATAACTAAGAACCCATAGTGGGAGGGAACCAGCCTCCAAACTCCCCTCTGGCCTCCACACACATGCTGTGACACATGTGTGTCTAAGCCCATACACATATAAGTGTTTTCAAAGGAAAGATTATTTTAACAAATCTTATTGTGTGTGTGTATGTGTGTGTGTGTGGCTAGGGTTGGAGACAGGATTTTCTCTGTGTAGCCCTGACTATGACTATCCTGGATCTTGTTCTGTGGACCAGGCTGGCCTTGAACTCAGATTCATCTGCCTCTGCCTCCCAAGTGCTGGGATTAAAGATGCACACTACCGCGCCCAGCTGAATTTATTATCTTTAGTTGTGTCATTTGTGTGTGTCTCTGTGTGCTCGTGCACATGAGTGAAGGATGAAGGTGCCGTGGAGGCCAGAAGAGGGCATGAGATTCCCCAGAGCTGGAGTCATAGGGCCTTGTGGGCTGCCATGTGGGTGCTGAGTCCTAGAGCAGCCAGTGCTCCTAAGCACTGAGCCGTCTCTCCAGCCCCAGCTACTACTCTGAGCATCTTTCACACCACTTGAAGTTCTTTGCTATGGCGATAAGCCATGAAAAAGAAATAAGGAACAACCAGTGCACAGAGTCTGGTAAGTGCTGTCAGGTCTACATTCAAATCACCCATCGGGGGACTCGTCACCCCTGCTACTGTACCACCACCACCACCACCACCACCACACACACACACACACACACACACACACACACCCGGCCCAAACCACCACCGTCCTTGCTTGGAGTGTCCCAGAACCTCTTAGCAGATC